TCGAAATCCATCTGAATCAAATTGAAATGATTAATTCTAAATAATTTGCTTTTTATTGAATAAAAATAAAAGAATAGACAAAATAGTTTCTTACAGAGTTTTATTTTTATTATATTGTATTTCAGGATTCAGATTTATTTGATCAACAAACAAAAAATTTATATAATGAAATCAAATCACGTATGATAAGAGACTTTGCACAATGGGTAAATAATTAATAATACATATATATATATATTAACTATATTAATATAATTATTTTCAGACGCCACAAAATTTATTTAATGAAGTTCGACATTGGCAAGATATGCAATGTCGACGACGTTTATTTTATTTTCATTTTCAAGAAACTGCACCATTACCAGGTTTATTAATGTTACATAAAGCGTATGTACTATAGGATAAAAATATAAAATCTTTTTTTATTTGTATGGATTAATATTTAGTGCAACAAATTGGTGTCATTGTTTAATAAAATATTGTCAACAAAACAGAAAATTTTGGGAAACAGAAGGACGTACTCGTTTTATAGAACAATTTCAACAGTCAGTAGTAGTTTTTCTTTTTTTTTTTTAGAAAGTAAAATATATGTATCTCTTTAGTTCATTTGTTATCGTTGCTCAACCGACAGGTTCAGATGGTACAGCAGTTACTCAATACATCAAAAATGGATTTAGTCATACAGCGAAATTACACTCACGTATTATTTGTTTGTTAGATCCTGATATTCTCGGAGATTCTATAGAATTATCAAATATAGGTATTATATATGTTATAGAATAATCTTCTTTTATTTTTTTAATGATTATTTCTTAGATGTAACACTTTATCCATTAAATCGAGAAATAAATAATAAACTAGAACAACAACCATCAATCGAATGGGAAACAAGAGACGTAATGAGTGCTGAAGGTGTTCCTGCATCAATTTATTATGCTGAAACTAATACACTTGAACTTGGAAATTTTGATTCTGTATATAAACGTCTTTCATTTAATTCAACACTTTGTCAATTAGAATATCGAATAAAAATTAAAGTAATAAATTCATTTTAATGAAATCTATTGATGTTATTTTTTTGTTCTATATATTACAAAATATAGGTAAAAGATCCACAATTTGAAGAAACTATTATATTAACTTCACAACCATTTGGTATTTGTTCTCATGGACAATATTTTCCAAAATTTCTTGCACAAATATTTCTTTATGAAATGAAAAAAATTTTAAATAACGTACGTCATAGACATTCAACTTCTATTTACATTTTCTTTTTTTGTATCTTAACTGCATTTGCAGATGAATGAATATTGATTATATATATTTGAAGAATAGTACATAATATCTTGGTAAAACGATCGAAAAAATTCTATCAAAGTTTGATATTTTTTTTTTGACATAGTTGAACGTTAAGGAAATTAGAAATGTATATTGATTCCAAATCCAAATCCAATTCTTGATTTAAATTTAATTTGAATTCGATTTGGAATCGGTCTATCTCTAATTCTGTTGCAATTACTCTTCAAAAACATATATTCAATATCCATCCGTCTACAAAAAAATGGCAAATATTCCTGCCTTCGAGCTGCCCTACGATATAGAGTACTATTTAGCGTAATACTCATGAGTCTGATTTGTTTCTATAAATAGAACTAACTAATTAAGTAATAAGTAAATAGTAAATATCATTGTAACTTTATGACATGAGTCACATTCATGGTGAAGTTAACAGAAAAATCCGACTGTAAAAAAAACATTTTCATAAAATCCTGTTTTCTATAGATCTTATCAAATTCAAAAATAATTATTTTTTATTTTATCATCATATAAACTTGTACTTCGATACATCGTTAACTAAATATAGAATTCATAAGGTAACAATCAATGTTCCTTTTGACATATATCATAAAAATTAGCTTTAGGAAACTTCATTATTTCGGGATATAAGTGTTTTAATTTTATGAAATTAAGTTACTAAAAAAAAAACTGATTTTTCTATTATAGACGAAAGAAATAACAAATCCTGATACTATTACTGACTTCATTCGTCGATATTATATACGTATGACCGGTGTTGAATTACTTGATTATACGAGTCGATATATTCAGCAAGTATTTGCACAACCAATTAATGGTTCGATATTTATGAAAAATTATTCTGTTTTAATATATACATATATATTTATATATGTTTAGATATGAAAAGTACACCAATAAGTAATGTTTCAGATAATATACATGAAGTAAGATGAAATTTAAATTTTTTTTTTTTTCTAATTTAAACTTTCATTGATATATGTTTAAAAGGAAATTTTAGCTAAAATTATAAGTCAAATTAATTTTTTGGTTTTACATCCAGTTTTAACATTAATGTATAATGATAGGTAAAATATGAATATTTTATTATATTGATTTATTTTTTCTTCTTGAATAGTCTTTTTCTTGGTATATGCAATGGTATGGAAGTAGATAAATTATTAAATGGTACTCAAGAACAACCACATTTATTGTTACGCTTTAATACTCTTCTACATCATCAATGGAATTCAAATGTTAATGTTCATTTCATTGTTCATGATGGTAGAGATGAAATTGACAATTTTTTTTTGTTTCTTTTGAATAATAATAATAATAATCATCATATTTATAGGTCATTTAAAACGAGCAAGTTTTGATTTGAGAACATTTGCAAATGAATTATGTAGATTCATTTGTGAATCAACAGGTGATAGAACAAAAACAGCAGTAGTTTTATCTACTACATTACCTCGTAATTTTACAAATTTTCAATGGTATTTTCGTAAGTTATTTATAATTGTTATATATAATCAAATATATTCTAATTAAATTATAGATAATGAATTGCATCGACTTAATAAAATGGCATCTCCAAGTAATGATACTTATGATCCATTATTACCTATTCTTTGGATGACAATGTATGTATCATAGTCAAATTATTTGAGTTATTATCATGTAAATAATTATTTTTTAATTTAAGGAGACAAAATGATGATAATGATGATACACAAATGGATGATATTTCTGATAATATGACTCATATACGAAAAAGACATCGTTCTAGTTCTTTTCCACGCATAGAATCTGTTTCTTCATTAACTACAATGAATATTGTTGTAAGTTTAGATGGTAAAGATAATGTTTCATTGGAATCAACTAATTTTTCATCCGATTCTCATTGTTCAATGTTGCTCAACTGTAGTAAGATGATATGAAGTTTTTTTTTCTTCTAAAGTATTCATGCGCTAAAATAAATATTACATTTATTTTTAGCTCATAACAATTCATCGACAACAGTAGATGGAGCTTGTCAATCAAGTAATGAAGAAAATACTATAAAGAATCGACAGTTTTTAATTGAAGTACCTGGAAATATTGAAATATCTCCTGCTGTAATCTTTCGTCAATTAGCAGAAAAATTTGCCAATTTAGCTAATAATACCAATGAAGATACATCTTCAAATTATCTTATTCGACCAAAACAATCAAAAACATCACTATCCAATATAACCTGTGTAAATGAATCTATACCAATGAACTCATGTTTTGGTGATTCCAGAAGTGATTCTCATTTATCTTGTGATGTAAGATATTTTTTTTTCCACATAGGAAACAATATATAGTTTTAAAAATTTTTTTTTTTTACTTAACAGATTTCAAAAATTGAATCGAATCCATTCGATGATGTTATTCAGAATAATATACCAAATCAATTGAAAATTAAAGAAGAACCGGAGGATATTGATTATATTGTTTTCCATAATAGAACGAAATGTCAATAAATGGTTATCATAAAATTTTAACTAACAAATTCTGTTAATTAATATAAAGGAGCTGAAAAACTAAACCATTGTCGTTTCAACATTCATGTTTGTGTTCTATGTTTTGTTGAATGATCATATTACTTTTGATTTCAAGACATCTTCATTCAATATTGTATCAACTCATTAATCATAAAAATTTTATCATAAATCAATAGTTTTACAGACAATCTAGTTGACGAAAATCATACAATCTTCGATTTTCATTTTGAACTATAATGAAAAGTTTATTTCGCAGTCAACGAGAACTAACATATATCATCTAACCGTTATTGTATCATTATTATCACAAGTCTTTATCAAAAGAAATTACAATCATGTTTGCTACAATTGCTAAAATTTCTTGGTACTACTTGAATCACATATAGTTTTTTGGCAATTTAATATTTATTTTCAAATATCTAATGAATTTTTTTTTTTTTGATATTTTCATAAAAAAACATAATTCCATACTGTCTAAATTAAGATACATCAAGCTTTTTTTCAGTAGTGTTGTCCTGTTTTTCAAGAGTATTGTTGAATGAATTGTGCACTTGTTGATATCACTTTTGAATTTAGCTTGTCTTAAAAGATT